AAAGAAAACCTAGGTCACAACAACTTAATTTTCTATACTATTATTGTCATCTCTCTAATCTTTTTCCTTGACCCACTTGCAAGATGCTCCTAACATAAACTTGGGCTCATGACCTTGTTTCCCTGGAGGATATAATGGTGTCTTTATATATATTTGGAGGGGTATTATGGTCATTTTACTTACCAACCTTATAAAAATACAGTGATTGAAATGTTGTGTAATTCTATAATAGAATCTAATTAATGGGTCCCCTCTAAGAGACTAGTGGTTGCCAAAGGAAGATTTTGACATTTGAAAGGCCAAATTTTCAATGTATTATTTGCTTGAAATTTAAAATATTTGTGATGAGCTGCTGAGTCTTTTGTGGCAATTATGAGAGGTCAAAAGATTATATGGTCCAGCAGGAACATAGCCTCTCTTCACTCTCTTGCGTAAATCCACATCTAGGACTTCATATTTTGGAACTGTATCCTCCTGAACTTATTGGCCAAGTGGTGATGGCGAGCTCTAAATTGTGGTCAAATATGGTTTCAGCTAGAAATCTTTAATGGGAGGGTGGCTTGCTAAGAGAGTGCAGGCCTCATATTTTTGAAAAGGAATTGGAGTGTTAAAGAATTAGTGAGCAGAAATATTAGACGGGCAGTAGGCAAAGGCGATAAGATTAATTTATGGCATCACAAATGGGTAGGTAATTGTGCTTTTAAATTATCTTACCCTAAATTGTTTGAGAGGGCTCTAAATTAATCTGCGAAGGTATTAGATTTGCGGATATCGCAAGGGTGAAATTCTTATGGGATTGTATACAATGAGACTATTTACTTTAAGTACATGGAGGTCACAATTACTTACAACCCAAAAGTTCGAGAATTTCTTTTGAAATTTGAGCTTAGTCAACGAAATAAATTCAGCAACCCAATTTCACATCCTTTGGTCAATATCAATTGTGCCGCCATGTACCAAAGGTAAATGGTCTCATTATATATTTTCTCATTTCTTATTGGGACTTGGGGTGTGTTTACATTGGAATGCCAAACATAATTATTGATCAGTTGTTTGCACTACTGAATGATATAAACTTGGTATAAATATCTTTGCATGGTGAAGATGAGGTGATTTGGGAATGTGAGCAAGATGGTATTTTATCAATCAAATATGTTTATAGACTGCTATACTATTATCGATATAAAGAAGGTCGAAGCTCACTCAATGTTGTTTGGAAGCTGCCTATTCCGCACAAAATTCAGGCTTTCTTGTTGATCCTTTTTTGAAATAAGACCTTTAGAGTAGATAATTTGAAAAAAGAAAGAAAGAAGAGGTATGATATTGGTTAATGTTTGCTTACTTTGTAAAAGGGATGAGGAGAATGGATGTCATATCTTTTTGCATCGTCGTATTTCTAGTGCTATATGGGGTTAGGCATTTGGTTTGATATTGCCTAATGAAAAAACCAATATTTTTGTTCATTTGGAACTCAGTGGTATTCCGAAAGGGGCCAAATTGTGTGGAAAATTTTCAAGGCATCCATATTATGGGAAATATAGAAATAAAGGAATAGAAGGACCTTCGAGGGTGTCACTCTTGTGCTAGAAGATATTAAGAGAAGAATTTTGGATAACTTATGGAGATGATTTTCGGTTACAAAGGAAGGCTTTGAAGTTTCAAAGGAGGATATATGGGTAAATCTAAGGCATGTTATGACATGTTTTTTGGCATATTTGATCACAAAGCAGATGACATCCACCTTTGGAGGGTTGTTTGAAACTGAATTTTGATGGGAGCTCTTTAGGGAACCCAGACCAAGGCTAGCTGTGATGGGGTTGTGAGGGATTAAGATGGTGAGGTTCTTCTTTCCTACGCGAGCCCTAGTGGTGTCCACACGGAAAACTATACTGAATTCTTTTCATTGTTGAATGGATTAAGGTTGCTAAGGGACAAATACCCAAATTTATGTTAATGTGTGGAGGGAGATTTATTGAATGTGATCAATTGGTGTACCAAGCAAAATAGATCTCCATGGATAATTTTGCCGATGTAGTTAGGGGTTATGGACGTATGTGAGAACTTGATGGTTTCGTTCCAACGTGTCTATCAAGAAGCTAATTCCGTAGTCGATGGCTTGGCCAAGTTGGGTGTGAACCTTAAAGTGCTTTGAGTCTCTGATGTTTTGATTAATGTATAATTCCTTTGTATTCCATCATTTTATTAATAGTAACATAACATTGTCAAAAAAAAAAATAATATATATATATATATATATATATATATATATATGCACTATAAGAAAATAATGGTATAAAATTAAACGGAGACCACTCAACTTCTAAACAGGTAGATTAAAGTGTTTAGATTTAAAATCATTTGTTTTGTTTTTTGTTTTATATCGAAAATGGTCATATGGTGTTTCTAGGGTGGATCCCAAATTTTTTGATCTAAAAAAAACTTCCAAAGTAGTTATTTTGGTTGAGGGAGTAAATGTACAGTGTGCATTATTAGTGAGCATGATCGGTACAGGTTCAAAAAAGTTGCAAGTGGCATTTGAATTTGTTAACCGTGAAGATTTTCCTTATCCTTATTATAACTCTATGAGACCACAGTAAGGGAGTCATAAGATATAGCTCCTGGTCTACATCTCTCTCTCTTTACACCCACATAAATAGTCTTACTGTCCATGCAATAATCCTCAAGAAAAAACCATAGGATAGGGTGGCAATGGACCCATGATCTGACCAATAACCCGGATCCAACCCAAATAGTGTTATTATTTAAATAATATTTAATATATAATATTTAAATAAATATAATTATATATTTATAGTTATATTTTTTAACATATTCTTTAAAGGGTGAAGTTTGTATAGAGCTGAGACTCTAAAAAATTCAAATTAAAACCCACCTTCAAATAGTGTCAATAAATATAGTTTCAATATTAAAAATCTTCATGATAGCCTTAAATTATATTTTCATCTTTAATTATAAAATTTAAAGCTTTAAAAATAGAGAATAAATTGAGTAGATCTATAAATACTTGAAAATATTAAAAATTGACGGCACAAAAATGCTTTACACTATTTCTAAAACTTGAAATCCGTTTTTTTTTATCATGTCCATGCATCTTGATGTCGAGATGATCAACTTGAGAATATTTTGGCACAAAATCAACCTCTTTTAGTGAAAATTTTTGAAGTGGGTTCTAATTTGATTGTTTTGACCCTGGTTCTATATAAACTTTTCCCTTACTTAAATATATATAAGTCGAATTTTTATATTTTTGTGTTGGGTCCAATCGGGCCGGCCGGACCGTCCATGTCCATGCTCTTATTAACGGACACGGAGATGATGAGTTGCTCCAGTGACAAACAAGATCGGCCTTACAAGTTGGGACAAAGTCTCATCTACGTTGATGAGAACCGGCGATGCATGGACAAATATGTGTGTGCCTTACACTACACTCGGTAGGAGTAACATTGAATGTTGACAAGTACAGTTCAAGATAGGACTCCGCAAACTTGTGCCTTGACTGCTCTTGTCTAAAATAAAAATGGAGTTTAGTAGAAAATCAATTAAAACTAATGTTTAGCCAATCAAACCATCCGGTTTTGAGAGTCATATAGGTTAAACAAAAACGTACATATTATTATAACAAATATTATATTTTAAATTAACCATCCTTATTTTTCTTTACCTTTTTTAAAATTCAATTCAATTAATTAGATATCTAATTGAACCAATTTTAACTAGACTAAACCCACGTATACTCAATCTTGATAACCCTGGTACAAACAGGTCGATGGCATGTGCGTGTCCCTTATACCATATTGAGCACGAGTATTTGATTTTTTTCCTTAAAGAAAAGGTTTCTATACTTCCTCTGCAACATAGAAGTTCTTTTCTTCCCTTGCCATCCAACCATCCAATTTTAATCAAGAGAACCACTCACCATTTGATCTTAGATCCGACATCTCAAAGTATTTTATTTTTAGTTTTTTTTATACAAATTGTATAAATATGAAATTTAGTACATGACATCTTTTCATTGGGGCACACCTATCAAAAGTATTAAAAATAATTTTTTGATAAAATATAATGATCAAAATACCTCTTAAAATTTTCAAAGGTATTTTGATCATTTTATTTCATTGAAAATATTTTATTTTATTTTTTTCACTAGTGCGAGTTTAATAGAAGAATGGACGTCTATCAAAATAATTTATAGAAAACAATTAAAAATAAAATAGTGTAGACACGTGACAATGTGATTGGTGCAATCATAAAGGAAAGTATATAAGTTTAATGCTGTAAGGAAAGCATAAAAAGCTTGCCCTTTCCATAATCCTTCCCAAGTACCATAATATGAATGAGAGAGAGAACACTAATAAGTGGTCAGATACTATTTGGAGTCTTTTTTAGTTTGGTAGGAAAAACAAAGAAATTCGGTGCTTCCCGATTCAAATGAACAATTCATAATTTAAAAAAAACTTTAATATTAATAAAGTATATATATTTATATTTAAAAATATATAAAAATTTAAAAATATAAAATTCAATATAAAAAAAAAAAAAAATTCTACGCTTCGGCCAAAAGGGCCAGAGCTTCAGCCGAAGAGGCCAAATCATACCGAAGTGGGCCATAGCACATAATTGCCTTTTTAAAAGACAATTTTGTGCTTTGGCTGAAGAGGTTGAATCAGACCAAAGTGGACCGAAGCGGCCTAAAACAAGCCAACGTGGATGCATTGGAGATTCGCTTCGCTTTGTTCTAGACCGAAAATCCGAAAATTTCAGCCCCTTCAGCTGAAGGGGAGCGAATCCAACATCATTGGCACTGATAGTATCTGGTACATGATCTCAGGAAGATAAGAATGAGAGTAAAAAGTTTCCAAAAATATAAAGTAACAACCTTATTAATTACACTAGTAGACAAGTAAACTTTGAGAGAGAAAACTTGGTTGCTATTGGCAATTGTAATAAACATGAAGTACAAAATATTCTTCTAACAAACAAGCAGAAAAACTCAGAACTCACATTAAATTATGAATAACTAATCAATTCTAACAAAGAACACAGGGTAAAATTACAGTGAACTGAGAAAAAAAGTCATGGTAGCTTAATGGTTTTCATGTCCTTAGTGCCTTGATCCAGTCAATCTCTAGCTTGAAATCTCCAGATCCGGAAACTGATCCAGGAGGCCCACCTTCTGCATTCACAGAGAGAGACATACCTAAGATACGTGATGGATTCATCTCCAACCTTACGTCTACTACGTTTCCTCGCCATGTTGGCATATAGCTAGTAAGAGGAATCTGCAAATTCGTAAAAATTGAGGATCAAGAAATTATTGTTCTATGAGCATTATGATGTGAGGAAAAACCTCAGTAGGGGGAGTGGATTGGTACAAAATTAATATCTTAATATTCTTTTCAGAATTACACTCATCAATAATTTTTTCAAATAAGAGTAAAAATAAGGTAGATGGGAAGCACCAAAAACATAGGTATACATTTACCCCCAAAAAATAATAGGTGTACAGTAAAGAACAATTAATAGCAACAATTGATGAAATGTTAGTCAGACCATAATTGCAAGACAAATCTTTGGTGCCCTGAGTAGTAAGTTCATGAGAATCAGGTATGATTTACCCAAATGAAACAATTTTTTTTTTTTATACTGTTAACATTGTGTTAATGAAAGGTAGATACAAAAACGGCCTCAAAGCGCTTACAATAAAGAACGCCATTGATACATTCCTCTTCACCCGTTAATGTAGTGACATTAGTGATGGATCACTTAAATGAAACAAATTCAAGCAGAACTTTCATTTAAATGCAGCTAAGGTCGGTCGAGTTATTTTGGAAAGACAGATGCGGAAAATCATGGACATAGGTGGACATCAAAGAACAATTAACAGCAACAAATAATGAAGTATTAATGAGACCGTAAATTGCAATATAATCTTGGGTGTCTGGACAAAGTCATGAGAATCAAATGTACTTTCAGCTAAATTTGAGAATCAAGAAAAACTGTTGGTTCAAGGGCATTGAGATCATCTTGGTAATTTTGGAAAGAATGGGGATTTGGCCTCTCGGCTTAAGCTAAGGTACTCCACCAAAGTACAGTTCAAGGTTTTAATCCAAGCTTACAAAAATGTAAAAGGTAAAGCCCTCTAATACAAAAATGGCTAAAATTTAGATAATAGCGTGTAGGACAAACATCTAATCTCGCCATTACTAACAGAATATATTACAAAAAGTTTCCTAATTTCAATTGGAAACGAATAAATAGTACAGCCTTCTAATACAAAAAATGGAAAATGTTGAGATCAATGGGCAGGTAAGACATCTAGTACCACCACTAATAAAAGAATACATTCCAAAGAGTTCGCACATTTTTATTGCAAAATGGCATCAAACAAATTTACAGATTTCAACGACATGAGAGCAAATAGCAATCAAAATCAAAATAGCAATAAAAAATGGAAAAATGTTGAGATCAATGGGCAGGAAAGACATCTAGTACCACCACTAATAAAAGAATACATTCCAAAGAGTTTGCACATTTTCATTGCAAAATGGTATCAAACAAATTTACAGATTTCAGCGATATGAGAAAAATAGTAATCAAAACACTCGAAAAAAGGCTGATTTTTTAAAAGATACAGTTTATATTTTAAGGAAATCTGAGTTTGAACTTAAGACCTACCAGATCACAACAATAAGTGCCTTACTATTGAGCTATGGGCTTGAAAGAGTTGAGCTTGTGAACATGGAAACTTACCTTTGCAATATACCAATTATCTTTGGGCAGTCTCACAAATGCCTGCCATGTGTTGTCTTCCTGTTGACCAGGGGCATTTACCCAATTTTCTGTGTATATCTACAACAATGAAAGACAACAGATTAGTGTTCGCAAAATCGAACCGGAACAGTGAACTGGACATGGGCCCAAAAGCGGTTTAACCGGCCTAACCAGTAAACCGGCCGATTCAACCGTTCTAACAGGGCAAATCCCGGGCAGTCAAAAAAGTGTTGAAACAAAGAAAAGAGATACAAAAAAAAATCTACTAAAATATGAAAAACATATAAAGAATGATTAAAATAAAACACGTTCAAATGAAGTTGAAAATTAATGAAAAAATAGATTTTAACGAGTCGATTTGTGCCTAGGGGTATTTTTAAATTTTCTAAAAAGATGGAAAAATATAAAAGTGAGTATTAATGACCAAAACAATTATTAGTCTTTACCATAATGTAAATAATATTGAACAATGCATTACAAACCAAATTCCTAATTTTTGGGAATTTATATTTTTTTTTAAATTATTTTTCTAAATACCAGTTGATCACCAAAACCGCCCAAAACCGGAACTAGCCACTGACCAGTTCTGATCTAACCGGGCAATTAGCGGCTAGATCACCCGGTTTTTCCAAAAGTGCAACAGATAGAGGTTTGGTTTTGATATTTTGGAGCAAAAATACCTATCTGTCTATATATCTGTGATTCTATATATGCATGAATATGTGTAAGTTCAAAGAGAGAGAGAGAGAGAGAGAGAGAGAGGAG